ATGAATCTCCATCTATAATTAAATATTTAGAACTATTAATAGGAGATTTATTTACTGCTCGATTTATTGATTGTCATTTTGATGAATCAGTTTCTCTAACATTAGAGGGACAAAATAAGTAGTTGGAAAAAGAAATTAGTTTGAATGAATTATCATTATCTCATCTTGATTCTCATAAAAAGCAATGTAAATTAGAAGTTGAAAAGATAATTCATTTATAAAATTTAGCAAATCAATTGCTAGATGCATTTACTGACCCAAAGATAGTAACTAAATCACATATTCCGGCTACTAATGCTCCAATTATAATTAATATCCTAGTTGGACAGCTTATTATTGCAAATGATTCTAAAGCATGCATAAAACATGGAAGGCCCGTTGATTTCAAAGATAAAAATCCTTAAAAAAGAAAAGGCATTAAACACACAGATGGTCAGATTAAGAATAATCAAGAAAAGTTAGTAATTCATGAAAAGTCACTTGGTACTATTAATATTTTAATTCCAGAAGAAACTCAAGTATTTGAAATGTGTAAAAATAATGAGATCTCAATAAATTATGTTACGAATGGAATCAATGGGACCAAAATGAAGTCAACGTTGATGATATTTTTGCATATAATGCAGTGCTTGATGTAATAAATGATAATGATGATTATGAACTAAAGTGCATTAAGGAATGCAAACAAAGAGAAGATTGGCCAAAATGAAAAGACGCAATTGAGGCAAAATTAAAGTCACTTGAAAAGCAAAATGTTTTTAGAACTATAGTCCATACACCTAAAGATGTCAATATAAATGGGTTTTTGTGTGAAAAAGAAATAAAAATGGTGAAGTTGTAAGATATAAGGCGCGACTTGTAGCTCAAGGATTTACACAAAGGCCTAAAATTGATTTTGTTGAAACATACTCACCAGTTGTGGATGCAACTACTTTTCAATATTTAATTAGCCTGGCAATAAGTGAAGGACTCAATTTGCATATAATGGATGTTGTTACAGCCTATTTATATAATTCACTCGATAGTGACATTTACATGAAACTTATTGAAGGATTCAAATTTCCATAAGCATACAATTCAAGTTCTCAAAAAAATTATTTGATCAAGTTAAATAAATCATTATATGGATTGAAACAATCAAGATGTATGTGGTATAATTGACTTAGTGAATATCTATTGAAAGAAGGATATAAAAATGATCCAATTTGCCCTTATATTTTTATAAAAAGATTTGAAAAAGAGTTTGCTATAATTGTTATTTATGTTGATGACATAAATATCATTGGAACACCTGAAGAGCTTTCAAAAGCTATACATTGCTTAAAGAAAGAAATTGAAATGAAAGACTTGGGAAGAACAAATTTTGTTTTGGATTGCAAATGGAATATATGAATAATGAAATTTTTCTATATCAAGAAACTTATGTAAGAAAGGTTTTAAAATGGTTTTATATGGATATATCACATTCGTTATGTACCTCAATGATTGTAAGTTCATTAAAGGTAGATAAAAATCATTTTAAACCTCGAAAAGGTGATGAAAAACTACTTGGTCCAAAAGTACCATAACCTAATACAATTAAAGCACTAATATATCTTGTTAGTCACATGCGACCTAATATCTCATTTACTGTTAACTTATTAGTGAGATACATTTTTTCACCAACATGAAAGCATTGGAATGGTGTTAAGTACATTTTTCATTATCTTAGGAGTACTATGGATATGAGATTATTTTATTCCAAAACACTTAAAGCTAACTTTATTGGCTATGCGGATGCTGGATTTTTGTCTGATCCTCATATTGGTAGATCACAGACATTTTATTTTTTCATATGCGGTGGTACAACTATTTTATGACGATATATGAAATGAACAACATTAGCCACATCATTTAATTATGTAGAAATTCTAGCTATACATAAAGCAAGTCGAGAATGTGTGTGGTTAAAATCATTAATCCATCACATACGAGCTACTTGTGGTTATCTTCTAACAAAATGATCTTGACAATCACATACAAAGATAATATTGCTTGTATTGCCCAATTAAAAGAAGGGTACATTAAAGGAGATAGAATGAAATATATTTCACCAAAAATTTTTTCACTAACGATCTTCAAAAGAATGGTGAAACTAATATCTAGCAAATTCATTTCAAAGAAAATTTAGTTGATATGTTCACTAAGTCACTTCTTGCTAAAATATTTGAAAAGCTTGTTCATGATATTGGACTTCGCAGATTCAAAGATATCAATTGATGCTGTCGAGAGGGGAGTTAATACGCGCTGTACTCTTTTTTCCTTGTCTAAGGTTTTTTTTCTATCAAGTTTTTTTAGTAAGGTTTTTAATCAGGCAGCATTGAATAGCATATAAATGAATGGTGTACTCTTTTCTTCTACTAGGTTTTTTCACATAAGGTTTTTTCTAGTTAAAATTTTTAATAAGGCACATTCTTATATAATGGACATTCAAGGGGGAGTGTTATGAATATTAAAAGGATAGTGGATGTTTATTTTTATCACTTCTTTATCTTCTTTCATGAAACTCCTAGTATCATGAGACTTGATTGCCCTCCCATGAAACTCGTACTATTATGAGAGTTGATTACCCTTTATTTGCCTTTAGCATTTGTATAACTTTTGATGTGTAAGATCATATCTATAAATAAAGCATGTAATTTGTATTGAAGAACACAATAATTCATAAAAAATTATCTCATTTTCTTGTCTTTATTTCTTCTCCCAATATTTTTATTTTCTAATTGCTTGATTTTATAACACAGACTACTTTATAAAGGGAATTGGCTTCCGAGTCCAGTGTAACCAGAAAATAAGAAGACCATTGAATCTTTTGTGGCAATGCGGAAGAATCCATGAATCACGTTTTCCTTCATTGTGATCTCGCCAGAGCTGTGTGGTTCTCTTCGAGCCTCACTATTAGATATGAGGAATTACCCGACACCAGATCTTTCATTATCCAGTGGATTAATAAAACAGCAGCTGACAAGAATTGGTTAGATCAATTAAAGGAAATTCTGCTTGTGGTTCAAGCTCTTTGGGAATGCATACAGGAACACGTGCAAATTCAATCGGAAGTTATAAATCCCCAACACATCAAGGATATGATCAGCAGGGCTCTAGCTAATATTAATTGCGAAAATATAAATCAATTGCTGCCGGAGGAAATTTATATTAATCAAGAATTACTTATTATCAAAATTTGAATGAATACTTGTCAATTCATTTTAGTTTTTTATTGACAAGTATCCATTCAGGTTTTAATAATAATTTATTTTAAATTAACAACAATTTATTTGGGCTTTTTTTTCATTCGGATTTTAAACTAGCTAGTTTTTGACTGACATAAATTTCTTCCAACAGTCCTTCATCACTATTTTCCCAGATTAATTTATTGATAGGTGATGCAAAAAAGCAGAACCAGCAAGAAGCAGGTTGGAAGATTAAACAATCTCCCCAAAGTGCAGCTAATGGGATTTTTCCTCAGGCAGCAAGAGTCTGTAATGGTTGGCTCCTTTTCCTTGACATAAATCATTTCATTCAGAGAGGAAGAAACCAGTCAAGAGAGAGTAAAATCCTCATTTTCCATAATCTTATGTTCATAACTGAAAGAAAGAGTGAAACAAGATAGGCTGAAGGTCAGATGCATTTTGCTCTGATGAAATTGCGTGCAGCACTAAAATGGATAACAGACTCCAATGACTTTGGTCCACCACCAGGTTTCTTTGATATTACTTTAGTGTTCATAAAAAGAGGGCTTGTGTGAATGCATTCTGCAAGGTTGACAAAGATCCTAAGGAAAGACATTCACACCCTGCTAAATCTTCAGGTTTTCTTGGATGGTGGAAGTCTATTTCCCTCTCTTTTGGTTGTACTAACTTTTATTTTCCTATGTGACTTTCTTGTGTTTTGAGGCTCTGTAGTTGTTGATTAATCAAAAAAGAAAATAAGGGCTGTGGAAGAAATGATATTAACATTCTGCATTGTAAACATGAGATCATGAACAGTATGTTCAGTTTCATCTAGCAATTGATCACCGTCCTACATGGGAGATTCGCAGAAGAAATGTACTCTTTTTTGCCCCCCCTTTTGTTGGGCTCCAATGTTACTCTTTAATGCTCTTTCTAAGATCTCTCTTTTTGTTTCTCCCCCCCCCCCCCCAATTTATTAATTATTTAATTTTAGCTAAAGCTTGTATAGTTTACAAATATATAAAGGTTCCAATCTATACTTGGAGACACTTGGTTTGTAAGTTAATCAAAGACGTTGAATTAACTTATTTTATATTAAATAAAGGTTAAATTATACATTACTTTTTTGAATTTTGAACTATGTATACATAACTTTTTTAACTTTTAAAATTTTACAATGAATCCCTCTCAACTCTTATATTTATGTAGATAACTTCATATAATTAATTTTATATATTAATTATTTATATATAACTTAAAGTTTATGGGAATTATTTGATATTAATTAAAGTTTGGGACTTAAATATACACAAAAATGAAGTTTAAGGTGTAAACAATCAATGGCTAAGGATTATTTATATAAACTTGAAAATTTAAGAAGGTTTATTATTAGGTTTTAAAGATTAAGAAAATTATTTGTATGTGATTCAAAGTTTAGGAGAGTTATGTATAATTTAACCTTAAACAAATGTTAAAAGAATAATAAATATAAAAAGATAGTATTTATTTAAAAACAATTAACTATCTTTAATATTAACGATCAATTGTCTTAGTGATAACCTCATCTTCTTTTGGAAGAAATCCTGAAAAAAGTGAAGTTAGTTTTGGAAGAAGTCCTGAGAAGGTAAAGTTAAAGGTAAAATTAAAAAAAAAATTAACTAACTTCAACTAAAAATTATTTTTATGTTTTTGAGTGGAACGAGTGTGTGTGTATGAAAATGTGCTGAAAAAATGTTATTTATAATTGCTTCCAGCACAAGAAACAAGAACGTACAGAATGCCTCAGTAAACGCCAGCGCCGGCTCGATGCTGGTAGTACTTTCGCCGGGATTTGTGAACGTGCCTTTATTTCCAAGGGAGACTGTTTGGTGTCGGTCGGAGAGTAGTGCGCTGGAGAAAAGGTGACGACGATTGCGCAAGACTGCTGAAGATCATGAAGCTTGAATGGAGGAACTGAACTCTTGGAAGTCCACACAGATCAAAGCCCTGCAAGATACGTTCTTGCTCGTGCACGTCTAATCTGCTCCTCTTGTAAGACATGGCCCATATCTAATTTGGTTCTCTTTTTTTTTAAAAAAAAAAAGAGCCAAAAATAATGCATTTATTAGCAAATACTTCAAATCTATATTATATTAGCATCCAGATGCTCTTTCTTCTTGTTACTTGTTTAAGTATAATCATGGTAAACAAAATTAAGTATAATTATAGTTAGAATTGTTTCTTTTAGTGAGGAGGGATTTTAATTTTTGAGACAAATACAAAATTAGCGAAACAAAACATCCAAAAATAAATCGAGAAAATATCGTTTTAGGAAATGATTATGGTGGTCTCTGCGAATCTTGAGGCGATGTTTCGTCATACTCTTCTGAAAATTGTCTGCTGATTGCATTTTCTAGGGTCTGGAAAGCAGAGAGGCCCCAGATAACACAATTTCTTCGGAGACTTCGATTCACGAAGACCCTCCGAAGGTTCATCACTCTCTCTGCAATTCATTGATCCACAATTGTGAGAAACCATCATTCCATCTTTTCAACATTTTCATCATTTTATTATTCACGACTAGGTTGGCTTGGTGGAATGAATCCAATTGTTTACAGCTAAATACTGCGGATTAATTTAGATTTTAGATTTTATATTGATGGTTTTCGCACTTACAGTTGAATATGCTTCTGTTCATTCGAGCATTATGCGTGCATGCACATGATTTCGCTTTCAGGTTTTGACACACCTCGATTGGATTTAATGAGCGATGTGTTTTTATTCGGCTCGTTTTGATCGTGCAGAAACGGTATTTATAACACCTGAGAAGAAAAAGGAAATTTCGGAAGGCTAGGGAGAACATAGAAAACATGCTTCAGTCGATGGAATTATTGGATGTTGCCGACTCTGACTTCCTCAGCAGTGATGATCAACTGGATGATGAAGAATCTGAATGCTCTGAATCAGAGATTGAGAGATACTTCGTCATTCCGACTGCCAAGAACCGATTGTTTGGCCGGAAAAAGCCTCTTCACGTTGTTCTAGGTGCCGGACTAGGTAATTAATTCCCTTCGGCTTTTTTTACGTTATTTCGGTTCATTTCTCGATGCATTAAACGATTGCAAAGTTCCATTAGGTTTGCAATTCATGCTGAATCTATTAGGTATGGTTAAGCGTGTGTATTAAATAGCAACGGTACGTGGGGATCTGGAATCCGAACAAAATGTGTTATAATTAGTTCTGTTCAACATTATGGTCTCACTTGGCTTTCTTTCTGTTTATTAGCTGCTGATATTATGCTCTGGAGAGACAAGAACGTCTCAGCAAGCATTCTCGCTGGTTTATCCATCATATGGTTTATCTTTGAGGGGTTGGGCTACAACTTGATTGCCTTTTTTTGTCATTCCGCTCTTCTGTTATTGGCTACGCTGTTCCTTTGGGCAAGTTTTGGCCCAGCAGCCAACTTGTGAGTTTGCTCTCAAAATTAAGATTAAAATGTTTTATTTTCCCTATATTAAGGCACTCTTTATTTATAAATTATAACACATCCATTCCATTCCATTGAAGCTGGTATTTCCTATTTTGTACATGAATATCCATTGTTGTTTCAACATTACCTCGTTCTAGCACCAGCGTTATAGTGGTAGATCTACCTGTCTCGTAGTCTATTATGTTGCAACTCTTCACCATATACTCTATTTTTTAACTTTTGGGTTGGGAACCATATTATACGCTTCTATCTAAGTAGCTATGCTGATGCATTTCTGGAAATGTTTGATTTTAATTAATTTGCCGAATGTATTGTAACCGAGAACGTGCTGTTTTTCCAATATATATATATATATATATATATATAGATTTTTAGTAGAGACGGTACCGTAATAAATTGATATAAAATGAATATTTTCGTCAAGCTAGAATCTCATTTTTCAAGTTTTAAAAAATTCATTATGTAATTTGAATAATTTTGAAAAGCACTCTGTTTCTCCACCCACAGACCCTTGTTGCAGCAGCGCTCCCCCCAGAAGACCGAATAGGATTCTAAACTACTTTTTTAATTTTTTTAAAATTTCTTTCGACAACTTGAATCAAATTATTATCATTCTTGTTTCTATTTTAATTTCCATTTTGTAAGATTCTATTTGACAATAGTTTCTTGTTTTGCCTGTGAATTACTTATCACAAGCCTCTTCCTCCCTATCAATTTGAGTAACATATAGCAAATTTTGCCAGTCTGTAGTCACTACACAATTACATTACATGGGATCAACAAGAAGCTGGCCCCAAAAAAGGAAAAAAAACCCGGGGGGGGGGGTTGTTCAAGTATGGTCAAGTAGAGATTATTTTTCTTGATTGTTTTCCCGAAAACAATGTGTCTATTAAAGAGAAAAGATCTGTGGTTCTGGAGATGGAACCCCTGGGCCTAGCCTAATAGTTTGTGAAGAGCTGGTTGTAACAGGACTTTTGTTTTCCATTTTATATCCTTCTGATACTGTATTCCATTTTACAGGCCTCCACTCGAATTTACAGATATTTTCTTGCCTGAAAGGCTGCTTGCCGATGCTGCTGTTGCATTAAGATTTGATATTATCCAAGGATTCAGAACCCTCGGAGACATAGCTCTCGGACAAGATTTGAAGCAATTTCTCTTTGTACTTTTCAGCATCCTCCTATACTCTCTCTTGTTATTCATGCCATACTTTCATTTGGTTTTCCCTGACACTAAATTAAATCTACAGGTTACAGTTACATTGTGGGGTTTCTCTGCGGTTGGCGCTAGGGTCACTTTTCTAACTTCCTTGTACACAGGTCAGCTACCCATCTGCTCAAGCATTTCAACCTACAAGTTCATTATTAATTCACAGCCCAATCAACATGGCTATGTTATAAACATTAGCCTTGATGTACATCTTCCCCTCTCATAAGCTAGGAATAGTAGGAAAGCATGAGTAAAATATACAACTCTGTAAAATCTCGTATAATATAGCCACATTATTCTTGAAGTATGAACAATGAGACTTTTTTTATAAATAATTTATAAAGTTGGTGAAATTTTATGTGTGAACCTTCTTTAATAATTTATTATTCACAAGCTGCGGGAATAATTGAATAGTGCTGCTTGCATTGGTTTTCATGCATCTCGTTATTTTTTCTTTATACTTTTTTATTATTTGAGTTTGAATTTTGAATTTCACACAAAATTTAGTTCAAATCAATATATTTTTCAGTAAACAAGTTTCTATCAGGTTATTGTTTATCGTTAGATCTATTGCATAAAGAAAATTATGCAAAGATATACCAACATGCATGCACACAAACTAGTTCATGGGTAAAAGCCATAAAGAAGTAGGAGCCTATGTGCGCAAGTTGAAATAGGTTAAAGCCTAAAACATTTTAAAGGTTATTTGCAGTACAAAGTAAGTTACGTCAGTTCTAACATGCTTTTCATTTCCTTTGCCGGTATAGTGTCTGTCATATTGCTGATAGTGCCAATGGTATATGAAAAGTATGAGGATATTATCGACGTCATTACCGAGAAGGTGTTGATAGAATTGAATAATCAATATGCCGCAGTGAAGAAAATGGTTTTGAGGGAATTGCACGCAGCTATTATTGCAAGCGAGCAATCTAGATTGTACGTCAACTAATAGATGTTAGAGGTACAGTAATTATTTCTGCTTGCTACAGTTGAATCCGATTTACAGGTCATACAAGATTCAGCTTCTGCTTCTTTTTTTTTTTTTTTTCCCTCGCTGAGGTTGATGTCAAGGATGTACTCGAAGCAAAGTCGCTTCTTAATTGTGTTTAGTAACACCTTCTAGCATTGTTATAAATACACTAGAAGTGTGACCTAGCAGGTTATCTTGATCATGCTACACTTTGTATGATATATCAAAGAGGTACTTGATTTGTTCATATTGGTTATTAATTATTTTCATCAAAAAAGAATTTCTTTTTTCGTTCGGGTTAGATTGATGTAACATCCCAGAAGTTCTGTTAGATAAAAAATTGCATAATCAAATCCGGGGACTTCAGATTCTTCTGAAGACAAGCAGTGCAGAATTGCAGATATAGGAAAAATAAATTCTGCTGGCAGGAGCAAGCAGGGCCATTGCTTGGATTCAGGTAATTGAATGCGAGAATTTAAGTCAAATTATGCTATTAGATTATTCTAAAAGGAAGCTAATCATCAGGATTTCGCATACAAGTCTTACACTACAAAAGAAAACACCGATTACATGGCATTATCTATACTTTTCTCACATGAGAGATACAAACGCAATTCCTAGACCTAAGATTGTAAGCATAACTTGAATATAAGGAGATATATTGCATTCGCCAAAAATACAAAGCTGAATGGAAATTTCACCAACTTCAACTACCAGGTAGTAAAACACGTCTAAAAAAGCCTCAGAGAAAAGTTTAAATGTTTAATGAAGACTTAGGCTTTCACCTCTTTCTTCTGTCCAGGAGGCAAAAAGGGTTCCCACCATCCAAACTTGTACTTAGGATAAGGTGCCACCCAATTTTCTGGCTTCTCAAACTCTAGATTGACAGGATTGGAGGCTAGTGCTTCTTCTAGACTCTCAGCTTCAAAGCTCTCTGATAAAACTCGGTCCAGTCTTAACTTCATGAATCTGCTTGACACATAAGATCAGAGTTACAAGGTGGCTAAGACATTTGAAAGCTTGCAGTTGATGCTGTTTTGGGTTATTGTTGCTTCATTATATTATTTGATATTATGGAAATCTTATCAGCAAGACACAGGCATATGAAATCTAGAGGAAACATGTAGAGCCCCAATATCCACTTGGAAAAACTGACACCAACTAGAAGGAGATTCCCCCCCCCCCTTTTTGAGAATACAAATTGATGGAGTACATATGTTGTTCCAACGTCAAGCCAATGCACTCTATAATTACTGTATGCCTACCAACAAATCCCAATTCACTCAGAATTTAAGGTACTCATCTTTTTCTAGGAATTGTAGAACTATCAGTTTAATCACTGACTCATGGTTAATATTTTTTCTTATTTTTGAAGGTTTTCTCTCCTAGTATTCTCTCTGATTTTCCTCTCATTTTGCCTCTATCCAATTCAAGCATGAAAGAGGAAAAATCGATGTTCTTACGTGATCCAGGGACCATTGGTCGACACAAGGGCAACAGATGGTCTCTTCAATCTCTTGGTAATGTCAGGGAACCTGTCCAAGAACTTAGGCTCAATCACTAGCCAGAAATCCTGTGCTTTGTCACGCTCTCCGTAGAGACGAAGCCGTTCAAACAAGACCTCTTGGAAATGCTCCTCTTCATCCAGCATGAATTTTGCATTTGCCACAACAAAGTAATACTTGTTGTCTTCACTCTACAAGAATGAACAACAATGATTAGACCCATTACCATTTGAAAAAAAAAAAAACACATAAATTGCATGCCTAGAGATCACTAAGCACATTCTATCAATAAAACCCTTATTTGCATACCCTAGAGCCTATTGCAGGCTAAATGGTCCACGATTGAGCAGAATGCTTCTTGTCCTTTACAAAACATCAACACATAGAGACATAAACCAGTGGGAAAAAACTGAAATGCTTAGTGTAAGTGAAAGCATCAGATATCAAGTTTTGGACAAGAAATCAAAATCCTTTGTACTCATAAAAATGATTATATATGATACACTATGATACACATAAATCTTGGAAGAATGACATTCGAGTTTCTTGCAAGAGAATTATTAACATTTTGGTCCCTACTTCAAGAAACTGTCATTTTAAATTATCAATAATTCCTTAGAAGGACACTCAAATGACAATCTCTCTTAAACCTTCTTGCTCTCACGTACCCGAAAAATCACCAAGAGTGACACGTATCAAAATCACAAAACCGTAAATAACCTTACATTGCTAGAAAATCAGAATAGACTACTAATTCTACTGAAAATCAATTATGGGTCACCCCAAAAACTGCAAAAACCAATAATGACACAATACTAAAATGAGAACAGAACAGCACAGAGAGAGAGAGAGAGAGAGAGACCTTGCTGGGAGGATCAGAAGAACTGAGCTGATCAGAATCAACAGCTGCAACAGCTGTGGTGAATGGTCCTGAAGGTTTGGATTCCTTGAAGGAGAAGAACGAACCCCAATTATTGTCAGCACAAGACCTGAATCCTCCCATAGGCAACGACTCTGCGCGATTAAGAGGGTTCTGTCTTCTGCTGCTTCCTGGGAATGCGAGAGTGGAACACTGAGCTTGGGCCTGAGACGACGCCATTCCAGACGATGAACCTAGAGTTAGACTGGCCACGCCCAGCATCATCGTCTTCTTCTTCTTCTTCTTCTTCTGGTCTCGAGGATTGATCTCTGTGGCGGGTGAGGCAAGTGCGATGTATTGTATCGGAAAGATGGGAAAAGTAACGAAGACTATCTCCTACAGGGATGGCAAATGGCGGCAGGACAACGGGACAATATCAGAGTTTCTTGCACAACCTTATCCATTGTTATCTTAATTTTGCATACGTTACTTGATTTTCACTTCCCATACTTCATAATCTATGTGCTACTTTACTGTCCAAAAATCAATCTATGTGCCAGTTTCCGTTTTGGGAGTCTTCCCCTATTTTTTGGGGTTTTTTCTCATTGGGAATTTAGTGTTTTTTTTTTTTGGTGGGGGTTGTATTTAGGGCTAATTTTAGGAAAATGTCTACTTATGATTCTTTTTATAACGACACTACAACAATATTTTTTCGACTTGAAATTTGATAAAAAAACAAATTATAAAATAAAATTATTAAATTTATTATTTCTTTATTTTAACCTGGTAAGAATCATAATTTTGAAACTAATTTGTAATCATTTCCTTAAGCGAACTTCCTTAAATTAATATTGAAGAGATGGGTAGGTTTGGAACAATGACAATAAGAATTCAGTCCCAAGTTAATTAATAAATCAATATATTGGTCAATTTAATATTCGAATATTAATTTACTTTTTAACTACATTAGGTGAGGATCAAGCAGTGTAGGTAATTCAAGTTGGTCAATTCATTTCAAGCTAAATTTATTTAGATTGAATTTAAAATATTTAAATGTATAAAAAGTTCATATAGCTTGGATCAACCTAAGTACTCAGATTGCCAACTATTTATTTTTTAAAAAAATAAATTTCAATTTTTACTTTTAAATTAATTACTTTTATTATTATAAAAAGATATAAAATATATATTTTGGAATATTCTAAAGGAAAAACATAATACTTGGTTTCTACATTTTCATCAGGTTTTGGTTTTAGTCATTTTTTTCAGTGTTTTCAGTGCTTATAGAGACTAAAAATACCAAAAAAAACTAAAATTATAGGGACTTTAAAAATAAATGTTGCCCAATCTTTTTAAAACTATAGAAACTAAGGATTAAAAACAAAACTTAATGAAACTATAGGGACCTATAATTATGTTTTCCCTACTTTATAAATATAGAAAACTCAATTTTTTGTTGTTGTGGGACTTTAAGTTTAAAAATCAATATTAAAATATATTTTAAATATTATTTTAAAATGTATTATATATATAAAAAATCATGTAAGTTGGATCATGAAGTCTTTAGATTTAAATAAATCACTTACCAATGAGGATTTCACGAGTCAAATTTTCACCAACTATACCAACTTTTATTGTTAACTTTTTCATTATAAAAAGGAATGTTAAGGTATATTTTTAATTCTTTAACTTTATATAGGATTTTAATTTAATTCTTTAATTTTGTAAAATATTTTTTGATCTTTTAACCCTAATATCATTTGTTTCAAATGATTCTTTTTTGTGTGTCAATTATTATTATTTTAAAAAAAATTAAACTTAATATATCAACATTTGATAATATTTTATTAATATTTAAAAGTTCATTATAAAAATTTATTAAAATAAAACTAACAGTGTTAAAATTAAATAACTAAAAAGATATTTTATAAAGTTAAGGGATCAAAATAAAATATTATATAAAATTAAATAATCAAATGTATACTATGCTAAAAAACAAATAAACAATCTATATTTTACCTTCTTTTTCAAGGACTTTGAGCTTGCCTGAATTTTTTATTTTTTATTTTTTTTGGTTAAATGCTATTGAGAATTGTTTATATACATGTACCTATATTTCTTCTTGTCTTATTTAATAGTCATTTTAGAAGATTATTTTGATCTTTAATGAAAGTCATTTTTTATTTTATGCAATTTATTATGCACAATTCTAAAAATATCCTAGTGCAAATTCCAAAAAAGAATGTGACATTTTAATTTTTAAGAAACTCTTGCCACATATCAAACTACTCTTATTTAAATTTAGGAGGAAAATGAAAAGCAATTTAACTTTAAAACAATTTTATCACTAGAACTATTTTTTTTTTGATAAGTTAACTAAAAGTGACTTATCTAAAAGATCACTTGAATTAATGTTCTAAATCTCATCTTTATCCTTCTCACTTACTTTGTTCATTTGTAATTCTCATGTCTTATTTAAAAAGATGTGCACACTATATAATATTAAAGAAAGATTTGAAAAAGACTCATTTCTCTGGGTTCCCTTAAAAAATTGTAAAATTTTACTATGAAGTTTCAAGGACTAATGCAGAAGGAAAAGCATCTTAATAGAGGTAAAATTGGGATCTTTAAGTATTTTTTTACTTTTAAGAATATAACAGTTAGCACTTTTTTTAAATAAGTGTAAACTTGTTGGAAATACCATGTAATAAAAAGAGGGAGAACATGTTAGGTATCGTTGCGTTGGTTTATCTTTTTTGTATGTGCTTAGGAGTTGTTTTGTATTGACTTCAAGGGAAGAGGATTGTAAAGACAAACCTATTTTAAAATAATTACTCATACGCCTCCACAACATAATTAAGTATTGCAAGATTTATTAATTTTTTTGTAAATTGTTAATGGACTACGTGATTTTTAATTTTATTGTGAGGGTTGTGAGTAATTCTCCAATCTTTTTGCGTGGAGCATCGAATATCTTAATCCGGCTCACATATTCTATCACCAATTCTAAATCTCAAACTTGGGATTATTAAAACAACACAATTCTCTCACTACAGTTGAAACTAAAATTGTTAATAAGGATTGAGTTTTTCAGGCTACCTTTTTACACCTTGTATTTTTTGAGAGATGGACTTAAATAAAAGAAAAAAGTTTGCAAAAAAAAAAAAAGTTTTTAGGTTCAGTCTTTATTGCCTCCCTTAAACCACGTATATTTGTCTCTCTCGTTGAAATTGCTGAAAATTGCTTAGCTTAAATTGTTAATATGGCAAAATTGTAAAATAATTGAAATTATTTAATTTATTTTATTTTTGAATTAATATATATATATATATATATATAACATAATCTTTTAAATTATGTATTGACATATTTAAAAATTTAAATTAGAAAAACTATGCCATTTTTGGAGGTCATTCCTAAACCCCTATCAATGAAAGTTAAGCTTGAAAAAAATGATTAATTTAAGATATACAAATTTTAGGGCTTGAATTTTTAAGAATTGGATATCTAAGAATTGGGTCAGCCTTATTGATAATTGATAATTCAATAATTTTTTTTTTTAAGATTTGCAAATTCCTGTGAAAACTAATCCTGTTAAAGGCTGGATCCACTCTTAAATGTGAGCAAATTTTTTTTATTTTAAACAGAAACAAGCCATCTCTGCTTCAGGCTTCCCTGAATTTTCCGTTGATCCCGATCGTTGCATTTTCAACTGTACGACTTCTTATATATATATATGTATGTATGTATGTATGTATGTATGTATGTAGTCTAATCTTCATCCTCGTCACTTTATGCTTTGTTCCTTTGCAATTCTCATTGCTTGTTCAAAACAATTTACATAATATTAAAGAAAACTCGAAGAAGTGTCTTTTCTCCAAGTCGCCTTAAAAAATTGTAAAATTCGACTATAAAGTTTCAAGGAGTAATGCAAATGGAAAAGCATCTATTCTTGTTGATTCTTCTTCATCTATCCAGCCCTGCAACTGCGATCGATCTCCTCTTCGACCATTAGGGTATTTACGCATTCATCTTCTTCTTTCTCTCTCTTTTTTTTCCTGGTTTGAGTTTTCCCCACCCGTCTTCTTCTCTTTCTATATATACACATGTGTGTAATGGCCTTTGCAAATAAACGCAGATGGCTGCGCATTATTATCCCTTTGGAAAATACAAGATTTCGGAGAGTGAAGTTTTCTATACCACCCAGCTTTCATTTGCCTTTGTAAACATTAGTCCTGTTCGTCCGGGTATTGTGTTGCCTCAACTCTCACTTTCCTCTCCTCTGCTGATCGTTTTTTATTTTACATTAATTATCCAAAGTCAGTTCATCTCGATTATTTTCCTTCTCATCTTTGATTCAATTAGTTTTCAGCTAAATTGAGTTTCCTTCTCCTTTTGCAGGTCATATCCTTTCTTTTTATTGGCTTCGTTGATACAGAGCATGGTTGCGATCGTTATTGCAATTTTTTAGTGGGGTAGATTTCAATTGTGGCTTTGTTTTGTTGCAAATTGAAAACAAGCCTAGCATAGTTATTTTGTCTCTTTAGCATCCCCTACCACTATATAATTTGAATTTAACAACTATAATTCTCGCGCAATCGGTTCTGGGTTAGTCCGCATGTGGTGGCTTTTATACAATTAGAGTGTCTAATTTGAGATATGTGATTTCATCAAGGAAATATGAATAATTTCGCTAAAATAGTTGTTCTATTACGTTCAGGCGTTGCTATTTCATATTTCAAGCAACCTGGATAATGATGTGTAAAGTTAGTTGTGAAACAGTATTGTTTTGTTAAACAAGTGATATGACATGGCCTGCTTATGCCCGCTAGTATCCATATGACAGAAGCTCACGATATAATTTGGCTACACATGGCTGCTGCTCATAATGTCGCAAGAATGAGATATATGTTCTTTTGGTTATTAGCGCAAACTTTAACGCAGTTTGAATTTGGTTGACTTAACATAAACCACATGTGCTTGTGTGCCCAAAGCGTGAAGTGAAGCGTTTTGCTGATCTCACTGCTGATGAGACTTGTGATTTGTGGCTCACAGCACAGAAAATTGGTAGGCAGCTTGAAAGCTACCATAATGCATCATCTCTTACATTTGGTATCCAAGTAAGTTGAATTGTTATCTGCTCATGTAACCACTTACGTTTTTCTTGCTTTATTTGCGCATGTTGTGTTGGTTTCATTCCTTTGATATGCAGCCCCCCTCCTTTGATTGGGTTTTTGACATTTTCTTAGTCTTTTTGCTTTTTTTTTTTGTGTGGCTCGAGTTCTTTTTGTTTATATTATATGTAAACATGATAATGCTCATACATGTCAGTACTTGTAGAGCTTGTAAGACGTGCATGTGGTGCATTGTCGCAAAGGTTGTCCCCTGCTATATGGGTGGTGGTGGTTTTGATCCCACGGGGCTGATTTAGAACCAACCCCCCCCCCCAAAAAAAAAAAAAACAAAACGTGTAAGATGTGATGTTTGTACTCTAAAAAAAAAAAATTCCACCGCATGTGAATGTTCCCTCATCTTTGTGAAGTTTGAAATCTTTTTAGGGTTTTTGTTCATTCAAATTTTCCTTCTTTATCTTGGACTGCTATTCTCAAACTCACTTTATCCACCTATAGTTTACTCTAGCTATTCCACTATTGTCTAACTGTTGTTGCATGGACTGGATATTCCAATTTCTTAAGTACTTGAAAACTTGTATGTGAGAATTATCAAGTGCTTGTGAATGTACAGTGTTACACTTACCGAACAATACTTTATCATAAACTCTTGAGAGTGATGTATGATTATTTTCTTTTATGCGACTGTAAAAATTGCAAAGTGATTCCTAGAAAAGATGTGACAGCACAGCATATGATCCTGGTCCTTGATGGGTGTATTAAGTGTAGAACAAAAGCGCCAACAAGTTTTAAACCTAAGGGTCAGGTGGTGGCAGTCAAAGGGTTAAAAGTGGGAGATTGTCAAGAGAAATCTTTCGGAGGAAGGGATTTGTGAGTCATGAGGAAGTGGAGGAAATAGCTAAGAGGAATAGGAAGGTTGCTAAAGCAATTTTGGGAGGGAGTAAACAATACATGTAAAGATTTGCTTGCTGGTGAAGCACAATAATGTCTTCTGATCCATGTAGCTAAATCCACTTAGTGGGGTAAAGCTTTTTGTTAGTGTTGTAAGATTATTTTCTTCTGACATAATGCACCGAGAATTAGCCTGTGGGATTTGAAGTCTCTTAAATTAGACACTAGAGAAGAAATGGGTTCCATACACATTCTTTCTTTGTTTGACCTCTTATAATTCAAGAAACACTTTATCGAAAGGTACTGCTTTTTGTTTTTTCCTTTTTTCTTAGTACATTATAAGAATCAAACTTGTCTCGCGTTATCTAAATCTCCAACCTTACCAACCTTTTAAGCTGCCCTCGGTTAGCAAATAGACAGTATCATTTGAATATTGTCTAATGATCAAGAAGTCAGCATTGTGATTTTTGGTCCGTATGCAGCACATAACTCTGTTTACATCTGAGAAAATTTACTGAATCATCTTTCTGTACATTAGGATGGGCCCCAGGCAGGACAGACAGTTCCTCATGTTCACATCCATATCATTCCCCGAAAAGGTGGTGATTTTGACAACAATGACGACATATATGATGAAGTAGGATGAAAGCTTTTACCTATTTTTCCTTCCTGAAAGTTTGTATCAAATTCTAACTAACTTTCATTTGATACTTGCTGTTTGTTATATTGGTTCAGATTGATTTGAAAGAGAAGCAATTAAAGAGGAGGCTTGATGATGAGGAGAGGCCAAAAAGAAGCCTTGAAGTGATGGCTGCAGAGGCGGGTGAGTACAGAAAACTTTTCTCGTGAAAATCTTAACGTGGGAAATAGAAGTGGAATCCTTTGATACCCCCCACCATTGTTCCAGTCTAGTTGGACTGTTTCAGGTATAATAATCAAATTTATAGGTACAAAATAAGTCTTAAAACTTGAGGCTAGCTTCAGGCCTTGTGGTTGCGGAGGACATCAGGATATTATATGATTGGATAGTTCAACTTTTTCTACTGTTATTTGTTGTTATAATTAATGAGTCTAGTGTATTGTCCAAAGTTTGAGAAATAAGTTACAATGGATCATGAATAATTTATTGCGCTGCATGATCTTAAATAATCTGTTATTAGAGTTTTTATATTATGTATAGAGGATAGGTTGTTTTTGGTTTTCCATGAGATTAATAGTAACCATTTAATAACAAAACAACTGAGGCAAAGTTTAGCTTAGTTAATTTCTTAAGAAGTTAAAAAAAAACAGATTTTAAATTTGCAGTAAATTGATTAATGAAATTAATATTAGGTTGATAATATTATTGATCGTAAATTGATATAATAATATTACTCCCTCCATTTTTTAATTGAATCTCACTCTCCAATAAAGTAGTTACTTATTTTTAAACTAACTTTATCTTTCTGTATTTACCCCTATTGAACACCTTATAATAAATATAAAATTATTATCAATAAGGACACTTTTGAAAAAAAAAAAGTAATGATTACACCTCAAAAGATTAAAAATAACTTATATTTTTGAACATTCAGCTCTTCAAAAAATGCCTTACATTTTTTAATGGAGGGAGTATATATAATAATTTTCTTTTTGAAAAAGCTAATTTTAGAAAAAAGTCAACGAGCCAGCAAATTGAGAAAATTATTTTTATAAAGAACTAAATTGTGTGTGTGTGTGTGTGTGTGACCAATCAAACTGAGAAGATTCTCCAAGAGACCAAATGAGAAGCTGCCATATATGTTAAAAACCAAAATAATTTTTTTTATTCAAATTTCTAAGTTTTATCATTCTAGTATTTGCCTTGTGAAATATTGTTATTCCAAAGAAAATTTCCGCACACACTTGTATTTAAACAAGACCTATTGATACTTTGCGGCAAGAGAAAATAGACCAAAATATATAACCATTGACTAAGAACATTAGCAGTACTTACAGATTAACATAGTGCCATTATTATGTTAAACAAATGGAAGCAGAAGATATGATCCTCATTGATGCTCTCTTAAGAGAAGGAAGAAAAAGTATACATACATGCAGAATAATTAAGAGCAACATGCTGGTACTTTAGAACTTATTCCCACCAACATCAAAACTGGGGAACAAGTCCATGTAATGGGGAACAAAAACCTAGTGACCACAAGTGCAGTTCTTGGTAATATTTGACATCAAAATTCTCCAACAGAAGCATTACATGTGGAAACTTGTTTTAAAAAGTCAAAAGTAGGTTGGTTAGTGTTAACAAAAGGTCCACATGCTATACTTCCACTGAGAAACCTATGAAAAATGTATATTCCAACTTCCAAGGAAGGATGTATGACTGGCAAAAAACGCATCTGATAAAAAAGAATGTCAACCTTTTAGTTAAGAGTCATCCAGATCCAGTTTCATCCCTAAGCGCTTCATCAAAATGGTATTGGCATGTAAAGATGTGATGCTTCTTTTCTGTAACTCCTTGAATCTCTCAACATCAAAATTATACCTCTTGATAAGCTTCTTCCTCCTATAATTGAAGAGCCTTTTCATAAAGTCCTGGTATGTAGGGTCCCTTGAAGTGATCAGAAAGTAGAAATAGCCTATGACTAAGCCAGCTGATGTGACAAAAAATGCAATTGGCTCCATCACATCCCATGAGAATTCCCAGAATGTTAGCCTGAAGAAGAAGCCAACCTGAAGTAAGCTGGCTCCTAGTCCGCACCAGAGAATGCGCCGGACCTGTTTATGTGCCAACATATCGATTTCTAGTTTCTTTTCCTGCAGCTTCCTTAACTCCTCACTTGTGGAATCCTCAAAAGTCAGTGCCAATGGAACAGCTCTCTGAACCAGATCAGCCACCTGAACATGCAGAGAAAAGAAACTAAACGGAATCGGCAAGCAAGATGCTAAAAGGTAGATCAAACGCCTAAGCAATCAAATATTGTAGTAGTCACCAAGTTTCATGAATGATCATATACTTCTTAAAATCATTTCCTTGAGGGGGTTGTATCATATCAGCAAACAAGATGATACAAAGCATAGTTCTAAAAATAATTACTTGTTGCAGTCTATCCAGAGTTCTACTGTGGCTAGCTGTACAACATAACAAAGACAATAATCCAGCCAGCCGCCTCAGTGTAGGTACTTCAAGCATAGCTATATCAAGTTGCAGAACTGAAAGTAAGCACAAATGCTACTTATAATTATTTAATGCTAGGAGGCAATCAGATTTTGAGACAGTCATATGCGTGTTCTGATACTTCCACACAAAAGGGCCTAGGACCCTTGTTTTCACCTGCTTTCAAAAAAATCTAACCACCAATGACAAAGCAACCTAGAGTGATTAGTCAGGATAATCTCATCAATTATGATCGAATATACTAGGCAGTTCATCATCACTTTAGTTCCAGATAGTTGAGCATTCTCTAGCATGCTGCTTGTAACGAGGGAATCATGTTACTTACTGTGAGTAATAGAATTGCCCTATTTGCTAGTTAAACATAATGTTGAGCTAAATCATCAATACATTATTAATTAAAACCAAGAATTGAAATTGGTAGAAGAATGTTTTTTCCCTTGATTCTACTCCATTTCAAACAAAATGAACACAGACAGAAATGGTAAGAAACATGTCAGACTGGAGAAATTGGAACTATGATGAAGACTGAATTTCTCAAGGCAACATGAAAAGGTAATCATGTTCTCAATGCCACTCTGACAAATCCCCATTTAGTCTTCTAAATTTTTCAGTGAACTGCCAGGGGAAAATTGTAGCAAGATTCATAAGGGCAACTCCAAGATAATGATGAGAACACACAGGATAATCTTAAAACATCCAATTCAGGGCAGGCATCATAGGATGATAAGGAACTGGAACCTCCAAATAATTTCCCAATTTTATTTTTTGAAAAATTCAATTTGTTGGTCCAGTATATCGGCAGTGTCTTGGAAAAATCTTTGCAGCTTAACTAGCACCAAGCAGACACCACAGAAAGATATCATGCTTTTGGATGCAAAGAGGAATGGATCAGACGTTTCTTCACTAAAGCAGCCAATGCCTATTTCAAAAGTGAAAGAAAACCATATGGTACACAAATGATCAAGAAGACGAATTATCATATATTTTTTTAATTAAAAAAAGCACCAACAAGAACAGATTGCCGAATTTTGGCAAAATTATTGGTCTCTGTAGATGAAACAGCTCTCAAGCAGAGTCAAATGGCTCACATGAAGTTTTGGCACTATATTTAATTGTATGATTCCTGTCAATAAAATCAGATAAAATTCATAATGACATGTGCATCCATGAGGAGAATCTTTGAAGTTGAAATGATTACGAGAGAAGTGAGAAGATTCTATGAAACATTCAAAGTTAGGAGCTCTTTTTTCTTTCATGAAATTATTAACTTTGCTGTTTTCTTCTTTTACATGGAGGGAAATTATTGCTTGCAACAAAACATGATAGCTAAACTAGATCAATGCAACAAAAAAATGCCAAAGGCGTGGTTATTAAAAGATTATTAAAAATATTACTGGAGACTAACTTCCCTTGATTCAAAATATAAGTATTTTCCCTCAACTAATCTTTGTTTAAAATATAGATAACCTAGTATATATGAAACTTTCCCTCTCTTTTACTCCTTATATCTATTAACCTAAATTCTCATATAAATTTATCTCTTATTCATCATGAAATACATTGGTAATTAGAGCTGAAGATACAAAAGAAAAATAATATATATTTTTTTATGAGAATGAGGACTTCATGATATGTGAATTTTTTTAAAAAACTGGTTATAATTTGGACTAAAAGGAGTATAATATACACCTGTAAGTAACTAACCTAAATCCTATACATTCAAAGATAAAAAATGATAATACTAATGAGTACAAACATGGAATACCAACCTCATACATCATCACATTCTTTTGTGTTACTCACTTCTTAAAATATAGGAATATAGAGGATTTAATTTAACAGAGCACAACTACCGATATAATCATTCTTAAGAAAAGAATATATTGACGTAACAAAAAGGTTCAGAGTTTCCTCCCAACAAGAAGCAGGAAATGAAGTGTTGATGGCATCTCTTGAGAAGTAATGCCAATTACACATAACTTTTAATAATACATTTCCATCTGGAAATGCTTTACTGTATGCTCCACAAGCATAAGCAAAGTATGCATACTAAGGATATAATTCAAAGATGGTATGAAAGGTGAAAAAACAACACAACTAGCTTAGAGGACTTAACAGGGTCAAAAGAGGGGTTGAACCCTTTCAAATGGAAATCCTACAGCTGACAGAAAAAAAAAACAAATTTTTTAATACGAGGCCATAATAAAATCATGTAAGAAATAGATAAATTAAGTCACATGAAAAACTATAAGTTTATGTCCTTAGGGGACACAACATAAAAATTGTCACTAGAAGCCTGATAAGTAAGAAAATCGATATATTTATTCGCTTTTTTAAAAGTCATCAAAGCTGATTTTTTTTTTTTGACCAAAAAAGCTGATAGTTCAAACAACAAAATTTTCAAGTAAGGGAAGCAAACATCAAACGGTAAAAGTAAAACTCACCTTTTGAGGATGAAGATAGACTTTATCCTTGAAGAGAAGAATGACCCCAGCTTCGTCAAGAACGCGAGCATAAGCTGAAGCCTCTTCAGGAGACCTAGCAACACCAGTGTCCTCACACAATTGAAGAAGTTCAGAGAACGGAATAACTTCCTTCGCTTCCCTTTCCAGCTTCGTCTTGAGCGATTCCACATTTACCAATCTCATAAGCTTCTTAGCTTCTGCGAAGGACATGGAATCGTTTCCCCCACTAACTTCGTCTCTAGTACAGCCATTATCAGGTTCTGATGATCCCGACTTACTGGAATCTTCAGGCGATGAAGACATCCCTCTCTTAATCTCATTGAACACAAATGATAAAGCAATTATTCCTCTTCCTCTTCCTCCTCCACATTCTGTTGCAATATACCTAAAACCCAATGACGTAGGATTAAGGGGACGAAGCTTCCCTCCACAGCCATGGCTGAAATTAACAACCGCAGATACTTTCTGTGTCAATGAACCGACTCCACCGCCGGCACACCACCACCACCTACTCCACATTTTGAAAACTCCGACGAAGAAAGCGATTTCCAAAGGAAAAATAAAAAGTATTGAACTCTATATAAACCAAAATCAACACAACTGCCAATTATTATTACTATTACTATTATTATTATTATTATTATTCCATTTGGACTCCGAAAATCATATAGAACTACCACCCCCAATCTTCTTCATTCCACCTCCGACATATTCCAGAACCATCAGTCTCAAAAATTAATGCTAATAACAATCATATTTCGAACTACTTTCGGGAAATTAATTTATGAAAAAGAAAGTGGAATGGTTTAGATTATATAAAATAGACGGAGTACGGTTCTGCGAATTGCGAAGTTTCTAAAAATGTAAAAATAAAATAGAAAGCGAGGAAAGCGAGGCAAGCACAGCGGAGAAGGGAAGGGCAAAGCAAAAACGAGGGAATGTACTGTGATCCATGACTTTCTCAAACATCCAACGTTCCGATTCACAGTGCCTTAACGATTTGTCAAGATGACTTTTCACGACCTCCGTCCACCAAATAGGAAAATACTCGGCTCTTTAGCTCTCGACTTCCACGTTTGACCGAGTTTGACCCCATAACGTTAATGGCTACGATTTAATAATTCAAAAAATGAATAAATCAATTTAAATTGCAAAAATTTGACATAAAAAGTTTTAAATTGTAATTGACAAATAACAAATATTTTATGAAATATTAAATGATAACCATTTAAAATTTATGTAAGGATTGAGAACGTGAGATGAAAAGTCAAATGAAAGTGAAAGAGAAAAGAAAGGGCGAAGTGTCAAATATATGTGGTTGTAGATGTATTCTCATTTCTTTCCCTCTCTCTCTGTTTTTTTTTTTGATCCTATTTTTTTTTTTACTCGTAGAGAGAATATTCGGTGAGAAATGGTCAATTTTGGACAATATATGAGTTCATGTGTTTCTTTTACTTTTTTTATATATATATATATGTCTTTGTAGATAGGGACAATATATTCTACAAATTATATGCATTAAACTAAATTTATAAATTAGCTATATGTACAGTGTACTTATAACAGTACAGCACATTATATTACGTTTATACTATTATGTATTTGATTATTTAAATTATATCACATATTTATCTGTTATATAAATATTTTGGCAGGTACATGGAACCAGACCAAAAAAATCCTACAAAAAAAAAAAATTGCGTTACAGATTCCTTTTCAAGTTCTTCAAAGAACAATTGTTTTAAGGTCAAGAAGAAGAAGCACTTGTTTTGCACATTAATGGCCAGTAGGTTAAATGACTTTTGCTAACTTCTAAAATGTATTATTTTTAATTTTAATTTTTGTAATTTAAATTTTATGATTGAATTTATCCTTTAACTATTACCAAAATATCTATAATATTTAAAAAAAAACATTAACAAGTTTCACTACTCAAAAAAAAACACTACTTTTTTTAAAAATATAAGGAATAAATTTTTTGACAACAGATATTATCTCGCTCAAAGTATTAAAGGTAAAAGATAGACATTTCTTAACTAAATTATATTTTATATATACAAAAACTGAAATTTAAATATCAAATTACCTTTAATTATTCATGCCACCCACACTATATTATTACTGGATTTGTGTTAATGTACTATTATAATAGGTGACTCATTGTCAATTAAATCCCTTCTCAATATAATGAATATGCATACTTAGGATTGTGATGCCATGTAATAATATATCATGTGACGAAATGACATTGAGAATGATATATAAATTTATATGGACAGAGAGAGAGAGAGAGGGAGGGAGTAATGTTCCTCTCATATGTGTTGCAATCTGCATATGGAAGTTGACAGCAACGTCGTTTACAAAATATGGATTGCAAATGAAAGCAAGGGGCAACGTCGTTTACATAATAGGAGCTTCTTGAGGGGCTCAATTGCTGTAGTTTGCCTTTGAAATAGTTCTAAACATACCCTTTGCAATCTTCCAGAACCACAATATGTTCATGATTGCCAGCACAGGAGGCACCCCAATCAAGCTGTAAAATCCCAAAGCACAGATTCCCCTTATCTGAAACAGTGTCAATCAACACACTTTTCTTTAACTCAGATTCTAAATGAAATCTCTCAGGAAGAATTATCTATATACATAGAATCTTATTAATTTTTACACTATGTATGTGGTTTAGTGTGAATGATACATTTCATTTGGCAAAAATACTTAGTTTTCCACTAGAAGACAACATTAACAAAGGCTATAACTATAAAGTCATCTTTACTGCGAGCACATTTATGCCGATTTCTCACACTAACTTGTGACTTATGACTGAGTAAGTATCCTATTGAGTAAAGGTTATTTTAGTCAATCCACTATATAAAGAGATTACCAACCCCCACATAACCTGTGTATATTTGCTCGTGTGTTTGGCCCAAAACTAATCGTCAAAACTACCTACCCATTCAAAGAGACGTGGAAGGACTTTTCTTACGAGAGTAAATAGTGTGATGTTGAAATATAAAAGAGAAGCCCACATTTTATGCATTGGACAACTCACCACCACAAAAAAGAGAAGAAAAGAAAAGAAAAGAACACCCAGCAAACTCTACTTTTTAAGTCTCTGTCTTCATGATCAGATACGAGAGGAGTCACTAACCACTTCTAGACCAAACATCGATGTAAAAACTACAAGATGTAATTTTACAGTGTTTGTGTGTTTGACATAAAAGGAAGATGTACAAGGAAAATAAGAGAAAAAATGCTAACCTCATCAAAATGGATCCACATGTGAGAAAAAAGAAGATGAACAGAAAAATCCTTGCAATCTGCGGCACAATAGATCAAATATATGATAAATTAGGCACAGAAAATGTAAAAAAAAAAATTTGGGGGGGGGGGGCAGGGACCACACAGGACAAATATAGTTTCATAGTTGCATCAAAACCACTCACAGATCGCAAAGCATGAAGCCATTGCTTGCATGATTTAAATCTGTTGTAAATTTAAAGAAGCATTTTCTATTACTCGTTAAAAGCACATAAGCTTCAGCAATCAAGGCATTTCATGTTTTTTGCTTGACTGACAGAGACTTGCTCGTATCATTATCATATTCTACATTGTATAATCAACCTCTGTTTTTTTTTTTAATGATGTTCGCTCATGTAAAAGCCTTTAAGCTCAACTGCTTGCTATGCTAGAATAGGTATATATTAAAGGCATAGATACAATGCCTCCCTGTTCGGAAATTCTTCAGGTACATAACGCAAACTTTCATACATGAGGCATTTCAAGAAAACTGAACTAAAATCAAGATCAGAAGGATATCAGACATTACCATCCACCCAAAGAATAATGCAATGCCATTCCCAATGTAAAGTTTGGAGTTCTTAAGGCCAGCAACATCCAAGTACCTATTGATATGGTTAAGTTAAAGTCAGAAGTCAGTGTTGACAGAAGTACATGATTGTAATCAAATTTCTAAACAACTTCTTACCATCTTAGATTTACAAAAGGAGTTGTGCTTTCAGAGAGAAGAATCATCAGCACATAGATCTGTCCTTGACCACTTAGCAGAGATAGTGTGATTGAAAATAAGGATAATCCATGATGTAGGACCTAAATGTAACAAACTATTTGAGTTGCTTTACTAATTCTAAATTGCTTAACCATAATATAGTTCAACATTTTCCAAAAGAAAACCATGATATTGCACTAATTGAAAATAGAAAGCTTTTATCTTATACACTTACATATTCAAGACCACCCAAAACTGGAAATTTCCAAAGAATCATTGCCAGATCTGCAAGAAAATAGCCTACAGAAATCTGTATATTGGGAAAAAGATAGAAGAAACAAAATAATAAGCTAATTGCCTCAAAGATGAAAGAGAGTAAGAAGGATATCAAATTAATATTCGATAACAAAAGCGTTGAGATGAAAATGACATCAAAAAGGAAACACAGTGAAATAAAACAAAACAGAACATGAAGAATCATGGTTACCTATGCCCACCAAATCTCTCAGCAATTGAATGGTTTAGAGAAAAGCCAAAAAGTGAAGACATCATCAATGTTTTCACAAATTATTATTCCCAACTCTAACCACTAAAAACCCACAAGTGTACATATTTAATTGAAAACAAAACATATAGATTCTCAATCGTTTTAAACCTGACTCAACCATTTCTCTCATGCAAAGCTCATTGCCATCTCAAGCTTGGTTATTTAGGGCTTGTTTGATTTCGTTTCAATTTTACATTTTTAAAACCTACTTTAGAAACGTTTTTTAAAAATTGTTCTAAAAAACATTATTTACTCATATTAATTCAAAACAGTTTGAACTATAAAAGTTGGCTGATGATAGTGTGGTTGACCATGGTTGACAGTGGTTGCCAACCAAAGTAGTTAGTGGTTAGTGGGGATTGATGACAATAACTTATAATGACTAAATGTAATATGTTTTGAAAATAAAAAATAAGAAATTTTTTTATATATTTTTTTAAATGAGAATAGTTTTAAAAATCACCTAAATGCAAAATAGTTACTCAAATGATTATTTATTTATTTATTTATTTTTTTTGTTTTTAAAAAACTGACAACAATTTTTAAAGATGGAAATCAAACAAGCCCTTAATCTTCCTGTTTCACTTTCTCAACTTTGTTAAGCTCACATTTAAGACTGGCTAATCATGTCAGAAAAAGAAACTGAGTCGTTTTTCTTTAATTATAATTCATATTAAAAGTGGCAAAAGTTTAAAAGAAAGAAAGAAAACCTTCAGGAGAGGCTCTAAGTTCAAATCATATGAGTGAACTCTCTGTTAACCTTCATGACAGGCTCCAATTAAAATCAGAAGATTGAATTATCTGTTAACCTTCACAAGAACTCTTCAGTCAAATTGTACGAGATCCGCTACACATTCTTTATTTGTAAATTCAAACTCTACATGGAGTAGTCTACATATTTTATATTCCTTCTCGTGATTAGCATTTATTATTCCAGTCATCCATTTTGAATACGCATCATTCGGGACTACCTCTTGTAGGGTATATATAACAGAACGATTAAAGAAAAATAATATTGACATGTGAAAAAAAAATCAATGAAGTCAAATCAAACGGATCAGATTGATATAATAAAAGGGAAAAATACGTAACAGATAAAATCAAATTTTGCATAAATATTTGTCGACTTACCCCAAGTACTGTATCAGACAAAGTAGATGATCTATTAACAACTAGCTCATCAAAAGAATCTTCATGAACTATATCTGAGATGATTAGAAGGTATAAGGATGAAAATGCTACAAAAAGAGCATGGAACGTTGAGAACCCCTGCATTTCGAGAGTAATTAATATTTCTTTGATCATGAGTATAATTAATCTAAACAGGATCCGTTATTAAAAGGCGTTTCACCTGTTATTCCATTCAACTTTCTTAGCACTGCTCAATCTTCCATATCCCTTGAACAAAAGAGAACTTGCACAAGCAGTCAATCTATAAACCTTCAAAAATGGGAAATGATCATGTTACAGAGATGTCAATAGACTCTTGATATTGCTAGACTATGTTCAATATTACCTTCCCTTTTAAACAAAACTGGACAAACATCTAGAGAGAAAAATAACAAGCCACGTAAAGAACAAATGCAGACTTGTTCATCAATATAAACAAAATGTTCAAACTGTGACTTTGTGCCTGAATGACTCTTTCAAAATTCAAATAACCAAAAGATTAACTTTTCTTTTCTTTTGAATGAAACTTGAGTTTTCTGTTTAAAAAAAATATATTTTATGGTTTTAAGCTTTAGCCAACAGTTGGTTTACTAAACAAAGACACACTCTACCAAAGAGGTATTCAAGGCCATTAAGTTCAAATTCAAGGGATATAAGAATTTCACATTCCAAGATTGATCTGCATCGTGGATACCAATATCTACGATTTATAAACAGTTCATTTTCTCAAACGTATTTTGTTCACTTCATTTATGCTTTCTAAACGCATATTTACCCTTTGTGTAAAAGTTCATCCTAGTGATATCCTAAAACAAAAGAAGATGGGGGGTTAAGGAATAAAATACAATAATTTCTTTTTTGAAGGAATAGAGAAATGAAGTGGAGAAGAGGGGACAACAGCTCTCTAGCCAACTTCATTGCAAATACAATGATTTGTCCAAATGTCCAATACTGAACCACAAAGGCAAGAGAGCCAGTGAAGAGATATTAATTTTGACATGTTGGCCTTTCTGCATTTCATGTTATGGTGGCCAAGGTTGAATAAAGACCCAAAAAAAAAAAAAGAAATGGAAAAGAGACAAAAGAAAGAACATTCGACAAATTCGTATAGCAAAGGGAATCACTTTAATGACATTCATGTAAGCAAGAAAATCTGTGTCCCCCCTCAAAAATAGAACTAAAAATCCCCAAACCATTCCTCATTATGTACTGAAATGTGGAGAGTATCATGGCATTTCATTACACCATCACCATTAATGGTATAAAGGCTAGAAAAACCCCATTCGATGTTTTTCTAAACACCTACCTTCCTGAACCCTTATAAGCAACAAAAGAAAAAAAGATCACGTAAAGAACTAACAAAAAAATTAGTTTTACTTACAATAACACACAAGAGAATGCCGGCGAAGACAGCAGGGCAATGGCTATACATGACCCAAAAAGCATATTCACGAGAGGATATTGAACCAATCGGTAATGGAAAAGGAAACATGAAGTCCATGATATTCAATCAATCTGCCTGTTTTGAAATTCGGAATCGCTGTATCAGGAAAAATCACCGTCGTCGTCGTCACCACCATCATGATGATGATGATGTATTCATAGCTAGGCTCAATGTCCGTCCAACAACAAAGAAACGTAACAGTCAGATCAGAACAATGTGTTCTTGATCGCGAATCCATTCCAATCGTCGTTCAGAAGGTTTTTTTCCTCTTACGACGGTTACTTCTTCAACCTCACTTTGATTCCACATTCGTTATTTTGGCCAGACGTAATTGCAAATGGTTAAGCTTGAAACTCCATCACATCACGCAATCAATGTTCCAGCAGAGTCTTATCGTATCGTAACATCTTCAGCTTCACCATGGCAGTGTGCCTTGTAAAGTTTTTACTCTCTCTCTCTCTCTCTCTCTGTTTTTTTTTGAGACAAGGGTCAAAAATATACTTAAAATATACAGTACACATAATGATTAAAAATAATTTTAAACTTTATCCAACAAATTCATTATGTCGAGTCTCACATATAAATTTTTTAATATTTTTTACTATAAAGTATTGCTTGTGACTCACATAATTTTTTTTTAAAAAATTCATCTTCTCTCTCCTCTCTCCCTCTCCATCTCTCATTCCATCGTTCCCACTCCCCACCCTCTCCTGCTCATCGCTCTCCCTCTTCCCCTTTCCTCTTTCTCTCCTCCATTCAATCTCCCTCTCCGCTCTCCCTTCTCCACTTTCTCTCTCTCACTGTTCTCGTCCTCTCCCTCCTCTTCATTCAAACTCTGTGTGTGTATAAAGAGAGAGAAGAAACATGTAGAGAGAGGGAGAAGGAAAGGAGGACTCAAAAGAACATGCAGAGACTCCGGGAGAACATGCAAAGAACGTCCCCACTCTATCTCATTCTCTCCTCTCTCTCTCCCCCCACAACTCTCAACGTGATGTGGCAGCCAGTCCTGCATGAGCAAGCCCTCCAAACACCACAACGCTCATATTCGACCAAGCCCGAATGACACACTCCTTTGACGCCATTGATGAGCCACTCTCTAAAGCTCTCAGCTATGGCTTCCACCACAGCAGGTGGTGAACGTGGAGAAGGAGGAGGTGATGGCAAAAGACGTGAATGGGGAATCACTCACTTAACATGTTGCTTGCAACAAAGTGAAGCATAGGACGCGGGAACGTTCAAGGGGACTGAGCTTTTAGAGAGAGAATGACTATACGTTTAGATGGCAAATGGATATTATAAATTATGAAAATAATTAATTAAATAATAGATTTTAATCATAATTGATTATACTATAATACAATCTAATCTGTTTGTATATTATTTTTCTAAAATTAATTTTAACATAATTGAAGAAGTTTAAATAATTTATTTAAAATTAATTTTAATTGTGTAAATGATTATAAAGGACATTACTTTTTAAAATTAAATTATTGATAAATTTGTATTTAATATTATCAAAGTTGTTATATTTTATTTAATAAGTAAAATATACTATTTAAACTAAATATGTAATTAATTAAAAATTTAAATTATATTAATATTAACATTTAAATTTATGTAAATAAGTAACTCAATATATCTTAGTTAAAATAAATTTAATAAAAAAGAAAGATTTAATTCTTAAATACTGAACATTAATTTTACAACAATTAATGAATATAATAATATATAAGTTAATCCTTAATGATATCACGAATATTAGTCATAACTGATAAAGAAAATGTTATGGATAATGGTAAGGATGAATATTCATCAATGTCATGGTCTTCTTGATCCTCATGGTCTTCCTTATCTTTTCTTTCATGATACATAAAATCAAAATTAGAATTAGAGTGTCTCAAATAAAATTATGTATCGTCATTAATGCAATAACGATTTGAACTTGTATATCATAGTCATAACTAGACATATTACATAAAATTGCAAACTTTTTCCTCCAAACTCCAAATATTTTTTCTATTGTGCACCGTAAACTTAAATTAAAATAATTAAAGACTTCATTATTATTTGTAAATCTAGTTGATCTTCTAAAATTAGGAAGATGGTAGCGTTCTCATCTATACGGACTAAGATATCCATTTGATATTAGATAGTCGGCATCCATCAAATAATATTTACCTTCTAAAAAAGAGATTACTATCAATGTTTGTAAGTTGAAAAGTCTAACATAAATAAATTGAACAAACAAATATACTTGAAGGCGAATGTGGAAAGTTCATTGACAAGTTATCAGAGCATGTTGAAAAATGCGAGCATTATGTGCAGTACCCTCCCATTCAGCCAAGACAAAAATAAAGCACATGTCACAATCACATATAGCCATTACGTTTTTGTGTAGTGATTCCTTTTCTTCCAATATATTTTAATTTTTCATTGACAAGGGCTACACATGGAATATGTGTGCCATCAATTGCTCTAATAGCATTTTTAAAAAATGGCCAATATCACTTATCATTTTCTATTTTGTTTGATATGTATGAAAGGACTTATCTTGTGGTTTGATATATTCTATTGCAAGTTTCGAGCAAGTCATTAAAACTTTGTGGAAATGTCTGTGGATAGTCTCTCTTAAATGTTGAAATCTTTCTTGTGCCATTCTATTTTCCAACCCATGTCTAATTGTATTTAAAAATATTGCAACCATCTCCTGTATTCTTATTCGCCTAATATCTCCTTCAGTCCATGCCATGTCAATTCACTACATAATTAATGAAACATATGTGGTTTCATTCTAAACATTTTATAGTAACGAATTGGGTGTCCTTCTAAAATTTCATTAACCCATAAATGACCTGTATATTCACTATTTCTTCATGGTTCTTTACACAAATTTTTTGTTGTATATAACCTAATGGTAGTACTAACTTTTTGGCTTCTCTTCAACCTTTTTTTAGATGACTCTTTCATACTTCTTGCCATCTGTAACCAAACACATAAATAACACATGTACTTAATTTTAATTATTGGTATATTTGACTCTTTAAGTAAGATACCAAGATCATAACAAGTTTTAAAACCCTCATAATCAACCATTTATATAACACTTATATCTCAACCATTCCAGAACGCTTTGTTTATCATCCTTCATTGTCAAAAACATCACCCTAACCTCTTAGGACATAAAGAGTGACATACATCGTGAAACCCAATGTTTGTTAGGTGCAACTTCTTCCCATTGTTTGACTATAGACATGACTTCAGGAATTGATGTTTGCTTAGCCTATTGAGATTCTTCCTTTATTGTTTGAGCTATCACACTCATTGCATCTACTATTTGACTTGTACTAAGTAACTTGTTCTTTTTTTTACTGTTACTGCTTTCACCCCCTCTTCCTCTTACCACTGACTCCATTTAAAGTTTCTTGAGAAGCATTCAGAACAAATTTATTGAATTCACTACTTCCTTCAGTAGTAGTTCCTAAAATCTCATCACTATCTCCTGAACCTTCTTCCAAATCAATACCCTCATTTGCCATATCTGGGCGATATACATCTTCGTCCTCATCTTCATTCCTATTGTAAATATTAGGCAAAATTCCACTTGAAAGTGCCCATGCTTTAGGTCCATTGGTAGTGATACCTTAGAACAATTCAGTTAATTCATTAGCAAATGGTAATCCTTTATTTTTGAATTTTCTTGTATAATAGATTTTGTTGCACATAAATTACTAATAATATTACAAAATAAACAAATAAATAGAATAGATATAAAGCCTCAGATAATAACATCATACCAATATCTTTTTCTCCCACCAATTATCTGGAGCATCTACTGTATTATTTGCATAATCCCATCCCAATCCTACCTCACTTGAAATCAACTTATTCTAAAGCACCCACTCTTTTCTCATATTATCCCACTTGTTCTTAAACTGCTGTCTGCCATATTTCTTTCCAATCCTCTCATTAAAGCTAGAAATTATATTTAACCATCCTGCTTTGGTGAAGCTACCACCATTTCTTTGCGATTTTTGGGCTTGTTCCAAACAAATGTCAATAAATATTCTAATATTTCTTCAGTCTCATGAAGCTTTCGACTTATCGTTATTCATTATGCTATATAAAAGTTAATTTTATGAGAATATAAAAAACTAACAAGTCAATTATAGAAATTGCAATTAAAATGTTATATGATAAAAACTTGACAATATTTAGTCATCAAAATTTAACACCAACTTACCACAAGTGTAAATCTTCATGCTAAAATTTAACACCAACTAACCGATATTTCTATGTTCTTTATGCTCTACATTTTGCCAAAAGAATAATATAAACTTTAAATACCTATTGGCCATATTTAATAATTTAAATATACATAGATTTGCTTGGGCTAAACCATCAAATCAATTTTTCATGTTTCCATTGAAATATATAACATCTTTCAATTTCTAAAGGAGCTGAAATCAACTTTCAACAAATACATAAACAACACAAAGTTAGATGATAGATAAATAAACAAAGCAATATATTGTTTGAGAATAAGCCTCCAGTAATCAATGATCATGTAGACCACCATTTCCTCCTTTCAACAACTAAAATTAGCTTTCAATAGCTTAAATCAACTATAATCAACTTTCAACAGCTTTCCCATATCAAGTCCTGAGTTCGATTAGGCACAAAAATAGCAAAATATACAAGAGTTTTACAATTGTTTGAAATAATGGTTCAGTTCAACTAGTCATGAGTTGTAATGGTTCAAAACACACAATTAAGCTTGAAATCATGAGAAAAAATTCCACACTAGCAAGAACAGAGTCTTTAAAAAAAAGTCCACTAGATCGTTCGAAATAATGGTTGGAGAAGATCATTTACCTTTTACCCCACTTGAAACTTCACTTAAATAGATCACAGGAGATGGGAGATGAAGACACTAGAAGAAGAGCAGATCGAAGACAGAGCGAGTAGATCAAAGCAAGACTAACCTTCTTTGACTATGGCAAGAGATTACTGCCGCTGGCTATAGCTCGGAGATTATGGATGGAGGTCGAGGATGCCACAAGGATTGCACAAGATAAGGACCATAGATTTGCAGGCAGATCATGGATGGCCAAAGATTATTTCCTTTACCATAGATCAGAGATGGCAAACAGCGACCATGTTGGGTGTGGGTAGACGATGGTGAAGATATAGCAAAAGGAAGTTGTAGATCGATGAGGTTGAGAGACAATAGATGAGAGAAGACACGAGAGAGGGAATGAGAAATGAGAGAATGCACGTAAAGAGGTGAGGATAATATTGGCAGGTAGATCATTTGACAAAATAATTAGTGCTATAACGATAGAAAAAAATTTTCAAATCTAGTTCTGAT